GAGAGGACGCCACCGGAGGACACGGAGACGGAGCGTGAGGTTGGACAATAATTTCGGTTTTGACAAACAATGATTTTGGTTTTGACCGTGACGCTGAGAGCATTCATTCCGTAATTAGAACCCTTTAATAACATCACATAGTGTCAGAAGTGGACGAGGACTGAATTCAGCAAAAAGTACGGTACGGAAATTCGATCGAGCACTGAGTGTAGAGGATCGTTTTGAATAAAAGGAAGGAAAAAGTCGGGAAGAGCACTCGATATAGCTTCGACGATTATAACCTCTTGTCAAACACCGGAACCGTTAGATTTCACACGCGCAGGAGAGGAATGGCCAAAATAGATTCGCCGCTTCGAAAGATATAGAATAGTGTCTGGACTTTCAGCGAAGTCGGAAATAGAGCAGATAAATGCCTTAATTTACTGTATGGGAGATCTGGCGGACGATGTATTGATATCGTTGCATCTAACCGACGATGAAAAAGATAAGTATGAGGAAGTTAAAAAGGCATTTGAAGCACATTTCGTAGTTAAACGTAACGTAATATATGATCGTGCCATGTTCAATCGTCGGGCTCAGAATGAAAGTGAATCAATAGATGAGTACATTACGGATCTTCATAGGTTAGCCGAATACTGTGAATACGGAGCCTTAAAAGAGGATTTTGTACGAGATCGACTCGTAGTAGGAATAAAAAATATTAAATTATTGGAAAGAATGCAGCTCATCAGTAACCTCACATTGGAAACTGCGGTAACAATGGCGAAACAAAGTGAGCAGATCAAGCGGCAATTACCCGTCTTACACAATGATATTGTTACGCCCGGGGCGGTGAGTATCGCGTTCACGCACTCGCTCGCGTAACGTTCGCGCTTCCGCACTCGCGCTCGCGCACGCGCACCGGAAGACCGCGGGGAAATGAAAGGAACACCAAATTAAGAACGCAAAGAACACTCTCTTTATTATAACTGTAAGAACAGAGAACGTGGCGAATAGACAGAGCAGAGCAAGACACGTCCGCACGGCACGACGGCTTGTCTCCAAATCTAATATGTCATCCGTTTGACAGATGACAACGCGTCGTTAGGGAAACATCCGACAGCTGGACCGGCTCGCTGGTACATCGAACGACGCGGGTGTAGACACGGGCGTAACAATATGAAGACAGAAATAGATCGAGTCCATACACGTAAAAAGAAACAAGAATTATTCCAGCGTAGGTGCGAGAAAAATAAAATGTTCCCAGATAATAGGATAAAAGCGAAGAAAAAGGTGTTAAATCCCAATTCGTGTCGAAATGCGGAGGAGGATCACATTCAGCAAGAGTATGTCCTGCGAATAAAGCGACATGTTATATATGCCAAAAGGTTGGGCATTACGCAAAAGCATGTTTAAACAAACAATCAACGAGCAATCAGCAGCACGAGCGATAAAGGCATCAACATCAACGAGCGAAGACACATTTATAGGCATCGTGGAGAAACAATTTAACAAGGAGTTGGCG